CATGTCAGGAAGTCCAGAGCTCTGCAGAAAAGAGTTCTTTTCTTGGCTTTTGAGTTTCAGAAGTTTAGGCCTAAAAAAAAAAAAAAAAAAAAGAACCGAGGAGCTAGGGTAAAAATAACTTTATCACATACCATTTAAATCACCTCTAGAAACTCACCCAAGCTCAAATGTATGTTGTCTATGTCACACTTGGCCAGATATTTTCTATTGAAAAATTGATGTCACTACAAAATATGAAAGCATCCTTAAATGTTAAAAAAAAAAAAAAAAAAAGTGTAGGCCTTCCCCGATAGACTTGGGAGCATAGGTAGTAAATAGACACAATGATCTCAGGTTGGGGAGAGAGAAGGCACTGTTGGGGGTGAAAAGAGATGGGGTGCTGGTGGGTCTGAGCCCAGGGAGGCCGCGTTGCTCTCATCCACCTTCAGCCATGTTCCCAGAGAAGGGCTGGGCTTATGGGACCTCGGGGTGAGGACCTGAGCCCCTGGGGGGTGGGAGGGTCTCAGAGCAGAGAGGGCTGTCCCCTCGCCCCATAGCAGAGGGCCAGAAAGACCCAGGTGCCTTCGAGAGGCATAGAACCAGCAGGGGAAATCCGTGGGCTGGAGGGCACCTCTCAGAGAGTGCACTGAATTGCATAGTGTCTCTTCCAAATTCACATCCACCTGGAACCTCAGAATGTGACCTGATTTGGCAGTGGGGTCTTGCTGATATCCTCAAGTTAGGACGAGGTCATACTGGATTAGGGTGGGCCCTAATCCAATAGTTTACTGTCCTTAGAAGTAGAGGAACATTTGGACAAGAGCTGCACACGCAGAGAGAAGACAGCCACACAAAGATGGAGGCAGACATGGAGGGATGCAGCCACAAGCCAGGGAACACCAAGAATTGCCAGCGACCACCAGAAGCGAGGAAGAAGCAGGGAAGGATTCCTTCCTAGAGCCTTTGGAAGGAGCATGGCTCTGTGGACACCTCGATTTCAGATTTCCAGCTTCCAGAATCGGGAGAGGATAAATTTCCGTTATTTAAAGCCACCCAGGTTGGGGTTCTCTGTTTCGGCAGCCCCAGCAAACTCATCCTGCCAGGAGTGAGGATGGTGGACGAGCAGTCAGCGTGGGTCACACGTGAGGGGCAGGTGGAGTGAGAGAGGCCCCTGTACATGCCAGCACTGAGGCCTGGGTGGGCCCGACTTGGCCCAGAACGTTTGCAGCCAGAGTCCTGAACTATAGGACATGATGTTTCCCACATCACGGAGAATGAGGCTTGGAACAGAAATTGAATAAGAAAAAAGTAAAACTTACTTTAAAACTTTTTTTTTTTTTTTTTTACTGCTTGGGTTTATAAACTAAAATGTAATACCGATTGCACACCCATTCTCTTATTTAAATCTCTGAAAAGTAAGGCCCATTATCCACATTTGATAGTCAAGGAGCTGAGCTTAGAGCATCAACTGAGACTGCCGAGGGGTCTGTTGTGGCCCTGGGGTTCAGGCCCACCTCTGCCTGCCTGCCGAGCCTTCCTGCCTTTCCTTATCATTCCCCTGTTTTCCTGCTACTTGCCTGATATTTTGACCAAACTGAACCGGGCCCTGTGCCCTACACACAACCCTGTACTTTCTGCTCGAGCCCTCGGATCAGGCTGTATATTTGTTGAATAGGTCCTTCCTTTCTTGTTTCCTGTCAAAACCCTACCCTTTATTCCAGGCCCAGATCATGAAGCTTTTCCAAGTCTCCCAAACCAGCTGTCATATCTTTTCAATTCTGGCAATCGTTTTGGAGCATCTTTGCAGGCAGCCTCCCTGCATTTCATATTCCTTTGTGTGCCTATGGTGCCCATGGCAGGTCTCAGTGCAGACCTACGGATTTGTTGGATGCAATCATTGCTAAAAGTAGTGCAGTACCGTATTCCACGTGCACTGTGGCCAGTACCTCTTGGCGTGAGACCGAAGCAGTCCTTTATGATTTGGGAAGTCACCTCTTGCCCTGGCTGCGCTGATCCTGTGGATGGAAGGCTCTGTGTTATCAGGAACAGAATATCATAGGCACTTACGTGTTTGACCTGTGACTTTCCAGAAAGGTGAGGGAAGAATGAGCATTTGGGACCTTCTGTCTGAGAACCTGGTCCACTTGCTCTGGGGGTAGCCCTTCTGGCCTCCCTGATAAAGCAGATTGGGGTCATCAAGCCCCTTTTTCAGCACCTCACTGACTGGCTTTCATCTCACAGCTTCCTCTGCTGATGCCTGAAATCCTTGAACTGGCTGCACTCATCTGTGTTCCGGAATCAGATCAGAAGGCCAGTTCTTCTGGGCGAGAAAAGGAGTGATTTAAATGTTCACTGAGCTGCTGGTGGCAGATTCTTTCCTGAGAATGGGTTTCAACTAGGAGGTGGAGGTTGGGCAGGGAGAGAGAGGAGGGCCCTGAGCTCACCCGCTGACCAGGGCCTGCTGGGCAGGAAGGAAGCAGCAATGGGTGGTGGGAAAGAAGGCTGGGGACCCAAAGGTGAGCTTTATTTCTACCTCCTTTGTTGTCCTGGGCCCTGTCTGATTCTACGCGAATGGATCTCTGACTTTTGATTTCAGAAACCCAAAAAGTAATTTTCTAAAATCATTTGTGAACACCAGAAAGTTGCCATTATTTATTGGATTAAATAGGAATGTTAACAATAAAAAATAGCCCTCTGCCACATATAGTTGCCATCATTTCATAAAAGAAAGATTTTAATGATAAAACATGTACTGGGAAAGACAATCTCAGAACAAAGCGTATTCCTTTAAATTGGATAAATAGTTTTATAGGGAAAAAAATGATTACCTCTCTCTGTCTCCCTTTGCTGTGGGCCCAGGAAACTGTTGGCAGAGGCTGGCATCCTGGCACCAACTGTTTTTTGAGAATCACATCCACCCCGGTTCTGAAACCCAACCAGTTTGTAGTTCAAGACACCATGCCTCCACCTGGTGGCCAAAAGGAGTAGCTGTAGCAGCTAAAGGGCTCTCACAATATATTTAGGGCCGTGTCCTGTTGATTGTGTTCTTATACTTATTTCACCCACCATGCACTAAGGGTGGGGCTATGTAGGATAGGGCCACATGAAGATGAAGAGAGCCAGGCCCCTACTATCAAGGAGATTTCCTATGACACTGACGTTTCAGACAAAAGTTAGCGAAAATGTTTGGATTTGTGTGTTGAAACATCAACTCCCCAGCAAGGTGGTTTTACTTCATCTCTGGGTCCAGAGGCCCAGGGTAGTCACAGACACCTCTGTGGTGGCATGCAATCGATCTGTCAGCATCCGAGCAGTCCTGTGAACTAGGGCCCATTGGCCACCTGGTGCTTTATCTCCATCTCTGCCCGGAAGCCTAGGCCCACAGGTGCTGAAGAAGCTGGAAAGAAACAGCACAGACAAAAGTGGCCGTGCTGTTTCCCACAGGACATTCCTGCTCCCACCTCCTCGGTGTCTAAATCCTACTTATCAGGCCATCCCCAGGTCAGGCAAGCCTACCTTTCCCACGAAGCCCTTCCATGCCTCCTCCAAACCCACAGTGACTCCTGTGCCCTCAGGACTACTCACTATCTTATTTTATTTTTCAAGTAGACAGGAGATTTCTTGATGGCTGAGGCTGTGTTTTATCAGTTTTCTCTCCATCTCTGCTTCTCAAATGACATCCCAGAGCTTTCAATTTTCTCTTTTGTTATGCAGAGGAGCTGCCGACTTCCTTTCAAATATTAGAACTGCACTTAGCCTAATCAAAATATTTTGTCATCAAAAATGAGAAATTAAGTCAATTTAGGCCATTTGGCTATAACAAAAAATCCCCAAGTCTCTATGGCTTAAATTAAGTTTTTTTCTTCCTAATTCTACACGGCCCATGTAGGTCACTTGCGGGTAGGGTTACCTGAATTAACAAAAAAAAATACCCAGCTAAATTTGAATTTCAAATGATCAATCTTTTTTTGTTTAGTATGTCTCCAAAAATGCATACTAAAAGTTATTATTTTAATTATTTGAAATTCAAATTTAACTGTACATCCTGTATTTTTTTTTTTTTTTTTTTTTTTTTTTTTGCGGTACGCGGGCCTCTCACCGCTGTGGCCCCTTCCGTTGCAGAGCACAGGCTCCGGACGCACAGGCTCAGCGGCCATGGCTCACGGGCCCAGCCACTCCGCGGCACGTGGGATCCTCCCGGACCGGGGCACGAACCCGTGTCCCCTGCATCGGCAGGCGGACTCCCAACCACTGCGCCACCAGGGAAGCCCTACATCCTGTATTTTATCTGGCAACTCCACTTGGGGGTTACCTGTTGAGGTTCTTCTGTTGCCCTGGTGATATCTCAGTCTTGGCTTCCTTATTACGTGAGGAAAACGTTGGCAGGACATTGGGAAGGATGAGAGGATGGAAAGGGTGGTACCCACAGCTCATTCTAGAAAGCAGAACTGAGGTTCAGGTATTGAGTAGATTAAAGATGGCTGCAGATTCTTTGCTATTCATCCCCTTGAATGTGGAGCATCCTTAGTGGTCCAACAGAACCACTAGACCAATAGAATGTGGCCTAAGTGACACTGTATAACTTCCAGGGCTTGGTTAGAAGAAGCCTTGAAGTTCCCACCTTGGTCTCTTGGAACACTACCTCAAAGCCCCAGCTTACTTTGTAAGAAGTCTGACTACCTTGAGGCCACCATGTTGGCATAGTGTAGCTGCTCCAGTTGACAGTCCAGCTGAGCCCAGCCTTTCAGCCATTCACACCAAGGCCCCCCAACTATGAGTGAAGCTGTCTTGGATCCTCCAGTTCAGCCTAAATATCACACCGTCTAAGTATCACAGCCTGATCTCAGTTGATGCCACGTGGAATTGAAACATCCGCCAGCTAAACTTGGCCTGAATTCCCTGACCCATAAAATCACAAGATATAATATGGCAATTGTCTTAAAGCCACTAAGATAGTGAAACAGATAATGTACACTTAACAATCACTCCTCGGTGCCTGATTTCCTTTTCTCTTTACCCAGATCCTTCATACTGCATGCCTGGATGCTATAACCAGATTTCACCAGTGAGGAGGTGTGGTTAGCCTGGGGTCTCCATCTTCAACAGAGATGCTCCAGATAAACTCTTCTTTCGAGCAGAGTTTGGGCTACACCGCAGGTACAAGTTTGTTGTCAGCTTAAATCCAACAATTAATCCGTCCAGTGTTGAGTGAGCATCTCCATGGGGAGGGAACTGTGCTGGATGGTGATGGAAGAGGACCCTCACTGTATATATCGTGTGAAACAGCTCACTGTGGTTTAACAAGTGCACTCATATGCTTAATTAATTTGTTTCTTACCATTAGCTTATGAAGCAAATATTATTTTATTACACAGACAAGTAAATCAAAACCAGGTCACACAAGCAGTAAGTGCCAGAGATGGGATTTAAACTTAGGCTTATCCACCAATTATTTTCCACAATGTGAAAGCCTTAAAAGACAGATGCAAACCTTCATTTTACAAATGAGAAGATTGAGCACCAGTAAGAAGATAATATCACTGCTGTGCTTTATTACTAACCATGAATCTCTGGCTGGGAACACTCCAATCTGGCCCTAAAGGCTCTCTGGAGTGTAGACCAAAGCTGGGTTGAGTGAGTGTCTTCAGAACTGTTGCTTTAGGGGGGACAATGGAGGAGATGGTATCTGCACTGCCCTTTCTTGTATGTTCCCAGGGAACACGAGCCCGTGGTCATTGTGTTTAGCTCCTGGCTGGGGTGTGTGGGAGCTATCACTTGGCTGATGAACAGCTCATGGGTCCAAAGTGCTGGAGTGGTAGCGTGAGCTCTTCTCTGGAGGGAACACCCTCCCATGAAACCATCCATCCCTGTGGTCCAGGATGGGTCACAGAGACAGTTTCATCTTTGCTCCAGAGCATGGAAAAGTAGAGGAACAGTGAATTGGTGGGGCTGTTTGTGGATCGTAAGTCACTCAAAAGACCATCCCTGGCTTGTTCTGGATGTCTCGGTCTGCCAGGGTGGCCATATCCAAGTCAGCATCCATCAGCAGCTGGGGACACAAACTGTGTACAAATAGAGAGGGATCCTGTGTGACTTGGACAGGAAGTCCAAGTGGAGTCAGGCACTCTAAGTTGAAGTGTCTCTGGAGATTATTTATGAAGCGCTTTGTACCCGCAAAGTGAATTTCAATCATTTATCATCTAAAAACACAGTATCACTGTAACATACAAATATTTGTGTCATGGCTGATGACCCAAACTTGAACTCCTGCCTGTAAAAAGGGAGACATTGTCATGCACTTGGGATCTATTTTTAATGCTATTGTGAAGGAATTTTAGAAACAAATATACGAGCCTTGATCCAGACCCATCATTACCATGCAAACCTGTAATTCTCTTGTGTGTCACTTCTGAAAGCTCTGGCTCTTCTGTGGGCAGGCAGCAGTAAAAGGTGGATCCTTCTAGATGAATCTCTAGTAACTCTTTCCTCTGTATTCCACAACAAGGTGATTTGCCTTTGTGTAGCCCTTTGTGTTCGAGATGACCAGATGACTGGGATGATGGTGATTTTGAATATGTGCATGGCTGAGAAGACCACACCAATTAGTTTTCATCTAGAGATTAAGGTGGGCACTGCTTTGCCTTGTGGCAGTTGAAGCTGTTTGCAAAACCAGGGGCTGATTGTGGCTCTTTCTGAGATTACCAAGAAGACTCCAAGAAGCTGTGGCTACATTTTTTTTTTTTCCCTCTGACTGTTCAAATGATCCCATTTACAAAAGACTTTTCTCCTTAATCTAGCTAATCTCTCTAATTGTCTAAAACCCTACTTTGCTTTTTAGTTATAATTATTGACCATAGGGTCTAAAAGGAATTTTATAGACCATCGGGTTCAGCCCTCTTATTTTACTCATGAAGAAACTGAGAATCGAAAAGGTTGAAAGGAAGACGAGAATCCAAGTTTTCCAAGTCTTCCTTCCACTCTGTATTTCAGAATCTTGTGCTGTTGGATGTAATTAAATGTGTTCCCCCAGCTCCACTGAATGGTTTTTACCTTGGACATTTCTACATTCCACAGCGTGCCTTGTATAGGGTTCATCCCTAGCACAGCCAATTGGTAGTTGACTGGTAATGGCTGCCAGGAGACCTGTGTTGAGGAGTCAGTCAGGCTGGCCCTCTGTCACTGGTCAAGTTTCTCCCCAAATGTGACCTCTACCAAGAGGACTTGACCACCCTAGCTAAAGTACCTTTCCTCCTCCCTCTTCTCAGCCACTCCATCTCCTTTCCTTGCTTAATTGTCTTCCTCTCACCTCTCATTATCTGAAATACCCTTTCTTGTGTATTGCCTTCTTCTCCCAGTAGAATATAAGCTCCAGTAGGGCAGGGACTATGTTTACCTTGTCCACTGCAGTGTCTGCTGTGCCAGTTAGAGTGCTGACATGTAGGAAACACCCAGTAAATATCTGTGGAAGGGATGGCCAAGTGCCGTAATTGATTAGTGATGTCTGCCACGGGCAGTGGATGTCAGTGGTAAGCTTTTGTCATCACAGGATTGATTGTTAATAGCCAACCAATTCTGGATGCAAAACTGGTTTCCTGGGCTTCCCTGGTGGCACAGTGGTTGAGAATCTGCCTGCCAATGCAGGGGACACAGGTTCGAGCCCTGGTCTGGGAAGATCCCACGTGCACGGAGCAACTAGGCCCGTGAGCCACAACTACTGTGCCTGCACGTCTGGAGCCTGTGCTCTGCAACAAGAGAGGCCGCGATAGTGAGAGGCCCGGGCCGCCGCTTGCTGCTGCAACTAGAGAAAGCCCTCGCATAGAAATGAAGACTCAGCACAGCCAAAAATAAATAAATAAATAAATTAAAAAAAAAAAAAAAAACTGGTTTCCTTCTGACATTCAGCTTGATTCTAGTCCATCTCCTGATGACCAGTTATTAGGTACTCTGGAAATAGGAATTTATCTTAATCACTAATTAAGAATTTAAAAGAAGGCACATTTTCTGCTCTTATCCCCTTTTCTCAAAAGTATAATAGTGTCATATTCATCATGGAGCATCTATGACGTAGCACAATTCCTCACACAATAAATATTCACTGACCGTTGTGTTTTTTCAATGTCATTTTTTTTAGAGAGGTTTTTTTTTTTTAAATTTATTCATGGCTGTGTTGGGTCTTCGTTGCTGCACGCGGGCTTTCTCTAGTTGCCGCGAGCGGGGGCTACTCTTCGTTGCGGCGCACGGGCTTCTCATTGCAGTGGCTTCTCTTGTCGTGGAGCATGGGCTGTAGGCAGGCAGGCTTCAGTAGTTGTGGCATCCGGGTTCAGTAGTTGTGGCTCGTGGGCTCTAGAGCGCAGGCTCAGTAGTTGTGGCGCACGGGCTTTGTTGCTCTGTGGCATGTGTGATCTTCCCGGACCAGTGCTCGAAGCCATGTCCCCTGCATTGGCAGGCAGATTCTTAACCACTGTGCCACCAGGGAAGCCCTTCAATGACATTTTGAAGGGATTTCCAACTTTCCTGCTGATCTAGAATAGCTGCACCAGAGACACACTACATAGTACACAGTACACAGTGCACATTGGTGTGACTGATTGAGACCCAGGTGTGTAAAGCCATGAGCAAAGTTCAGGTAAATATCCAAATTAAACTGTCCTAAAGTAGGGTGAGCAGCATTCATTACCTTATCACTGAGTACTGGCTTTTCTCATCCATCCCCTCCTGGAAGTCAGTATCTGAAATTGGCTAGTGTGAGGAAGGAGAGATTTGAGAAAAATAAAAGACCAAAGAGAGAGTTAGTGCTTAAATATATTTGGAATTCATCTCTGTTTCTTTTAATCTCTTTTTAAAGAAAGGTGGTAAATATGGAAACATTTGTAGCAGGTAGAGGTTTTTGGAAGTTGGCTCCTTTTTAACCCAATCCATACTGTTGTTTCATGTGAAAAACAAGATGTGAAGCAGTGCCCTGGTAAATCTGATTTAGTATTTCCTAGGACTCTGGGGTTGTATACCATATACTCTCCTAAATCTGATGGCGTCAGTATGACCTGACATTTAATTATTTGCATAGACTATTTAAAATTAAAATAGCAACAGGCTCAGAGTTCTTTTCAAGCTTTAATACACTCTCCTTTTAAAAATATATTTTTCATAAATTACTGTGCTGTCTGGCAGGCCATCACATTCTTCAGTTTCTGTAATAAAAGGGGAATGGTGCTCTGGGGGTGGGGAATGGTGCTATGGGGGTGGGGAGTGGTGCTATGGGG